CCATCATAAGGAATCCATATTGTTTGTCATCCATCAAGTCGAGTCGGTTGGACTCTCTATCATCTTTTCTGTAGCAATTTGAGGTTTTACGGGGTGAGAGTGCTGGCCCACTGTACCCAACCATACTCGTTTTTCCAATGGCCTTGGAACCATCTTTGTCAGAGTTTATTATTATGTAAGGCATTATTAAGTATAGCAGTAAAAACATAGATGATTATGTAAGATGTTATTATGTGTAGTAGTAAGAACATAGAATATTATGTATAGTGTTATTATGTGTAATAGTAAAAGCATACAGTCTTGCCCAAACTGTTTGCATATTTTGTAACAAATAAGATCATTATTATTAAGATGGGACAAATACACTCAGTATTGTCAAAATGAAAAATGCATGTTATATTAAACATATACATATGGATTTGTACAAAGAGATCGGTTTTATGGACATCATGAACGATTTATTAGAACAGCAAACAATTTTATCAGACGTCTTTAGGAAGCTATATTTAATTCAGCATTTAATCATTCACAATAAAACCTTAATAAAACATATATTATGACAAAATATAGCATAAAATTACTAAATATAGCGTCTGTAACCAGATAACAGTTCATATTAAACATTCAGTATTTGGTAGGTCCTCCTCATACTATAATAACCTTCGCAAGGCAACGTGGCATGCTGTCGATGAGGTTACTGATGTAATCCACTGTGATTTCATCCCAATTTGTCACTAAAAGGCGCTGCAACTCATCTATAGTAGCTGGTTTAGGGTTGTGGTTAGCAATTTTCTAACTCAGTTGTGCCCAACAGGTCTCAATTGGATTATAATCTGGATACTTTGTTAGCTATGACAATCTTGTAATGTCCTCCTGGTCGATATAATCCTGTACAATACGCACACTGTGGGCAGTGGCATTGTCATCCTGAAACACAAAGTTATTGTCAAACATTGCCCAAGCATATGGCAGAAATATTGTTTCTATGTGATGCCTGTAGGAGGTGCCATTGACGTTTCCTTGGGGGATATGAAGAGCAATATTTCCACCATGATGAATAACTGCCCAAACATGTACTGCACCACCCTTGAATGTTCCTTTTGGGAAAGACAGTCTTCCCTCATCTGTTCGCCAGGAAAATGACGAACACTAATCCTACCATCAGCTTTAACAAACCGGAAACAGGACTCATCTAAAAAGATGACATGTCGCCAGTATCCTAACTATAAGTTGGTATACCTGTTGTGTCCAAGTAACTCAGTGATTTGCAGATAACCCTTCTTGCAAAATAACCTTGTTTGGTTAGTCTCCTATTCACTGTTCTTCTGGATACCCTGGAATGAATGTGATCATGCTATTCCTCTTATAAGGGATTGCAAGACATCTTTCAATCTTGACTATTAACCTGATCAAAACACGGGATCTCGGGAAGTAGTTTTCGGCGTCTACCAGTAGACTTTCCTGGAACAACTTTTCCTGTAGTCCGATAACGTTTCAGGATTCTGGATACAATACACTAGGGTACACTACTGTTCTGGCAATCTCCGCTTTCTTCATACCATATCTGGACATTCGAACAGTTTGGCGCCATATAACATATGGTACTTGACGAGGCATGACTCTACACCAAGTACTGAGAAATTGTCTGAACAAAGCGTTAATCTGTTTCATAAAAGGAGGTTATATAAAACAGGTGAGTATGTGTTTTAACGAACAAATGATCAAAACAACTTATGCAGACTAGTACATATTTGTCCGATCATACGCTACCTTCTCTGTTACTACTTGGGTATTTACTCAATCACTGCTCCATTCATGTAGACAATAAGATAAATATAGAACAGCATGCAAACATATTGTCTAAGATTGTATATTATTATGTAGGGTATTGTTAAGTACAACAGTAACAACTTAGGTTATTATGTAAGGTATTGTTAAGTACAACAGTAACAACTTAGGTTATTATGTAAGGTATTGTTAAGTACAACAGTAACAATCCAGTTTGTTACGTAAGGTATTGTTAAGTACAACAGTAACAACTTAGGCTTATATATAAGGTATTGATAAGTACAACAGTAACAGCTTAGGTTATTATATAAGGTATTGATAAGTATAGCAACAACAACCCAGTTTGTTACGTAAGGTGTTGTTTAGTTGACAATAGCAATTTAGATTACTATGTAAAGGTTTGTTAGGTATAGAACTAATAAAATACATTATTATGTAACATTTTTTTTAGGTACAGCAACAACAACTTAACTTATCATGTAAGGTGTTATTAAGTATAGCAACAACAATTTAAGTTAATACATAAGGTTTCATTAAGTACAGCAGCAAGAATATAGATTGTTTTCTTTGATGTAAAACTACGAAAACTCCAGAACAACGATATCTTTTTTCTACACATTTTTCAGGAGTGATGTAATACTTACATTGATAGACTCACAATACGTAACAAACTAAACACTTTTAAATTTGTTCTATAGACCAATGGAAAGTATTGAACATGGTAAAAACGGTTTCTGCTCAAGCCTACCTACCCTAAGCACTTAACGATAATGGTAAAACAGGATATAAACTTAACGATAATAGTAAAACAGGGTATAAACTTAACGATAATAGTAAAACTGGACATAAAATTAACGATAATAGTAAAACAGGACATAAAATTAACGATAATAGTAAAACAGAACATAAACTTAACGATAATGGTAAAACAGGGTATAAACTTAACGATAATGGTAAAACAGGACATAAACTTAACGATAATAGTAAAACAGAACATAAACTTAACGATAATGGTAAAACAGGGTATAAACTTAACGATAGTGGTAAAACAGGATATAAAGTTAACGATAATGGTAAAACAGGGTATAAACTTAACGATAATGGTAAAACAGGACATAAACTTAACGATAGTAGTAAAACAGGGTATAAACTTAACGATAATGGTAAAACAGGGTATAAACTTAACGATAATGGTAAAACAGGACATAAACTTAACGATAGTAGTAAAACAGGGTATAAACTTAACGATAATGGTAAAACAGGGTA